TCTCACAACCTGGAGGCCAAACGGCCAGGAGCCGGCGGGCTTGGTGTCCCCTGAAGCCTCTGTCCTAGGCATGCGGGTGGCTGTCTTCGACCGTGTCCCCATGGGCACCGTGTCGGCCCGTGTGCGCCCGTGTTCCGATGTCCTCTAAGGACACCGGCCATGTCGGATTAGGGCCACCTGAAGGACCCCGGGCCTCCTTCCGCACCGATTCGAAGGCTCTGTCTCCAAACGTAGTCACGTTCTGGAGTAGCGGGGGGTCAAGACCGCGACACATGACTGACAGACCTTCAGCTAGACTCACCGTGGGAGAAGGAAGTAGGGCTCAGGTGGTGTCAGAAATGACGGGGGAGACAAGACGTCCGTTACCACGGAAATACAAAGGCTCGTAAATAATTATACGCCAACAGACTAGACCATCTGAAAGAAACAGGTTAAGTTCATAGTAACATACAACCTGCCTGGACCAAACCATGAACAAATAGAAAACTCAGATCAGAAGAACTAGTAACCTGAACAGTAAGGAAACTGAATCAGTCATCTGAATCCTGCCCACAAACAGAAATCCACGACCACATGGCTTCACTGGTGAATTCTATCAAATTTTCAAAGAAGTATTAATACCCGTCCTTCTCAGACTCTTCCCAAAAAGTAGGAGGAGAGGGAACTTCCAAACTCACTTTATAGACCAGCATCCCTGGTACCAAAACCAAACGAGGGCACGACCAGAAAAGAATACAGGCCAGTATCCCCGATGACCATGGGTGCAGAAACCCGCCACTGCACTGTAGCAAACTGATGGCAGCGACACATTAAAAAAGGTCACGCGCCACGGTGAAGCGAGATGAATCCCAGGAATGTGAGTTTGGCTGGGTATCTACGGTCCATCGACACAATGTTCCACACACACAGAATGAAGGATGAAAATCGCATGATCACATAGTAGGTGCAGAAAAAGGATGTGACAATTCAACACCCATTTATGATAAAAACTCTCAGCAAACATGGAGGGAAGATGCTTCAACATGACAAAGGCCATGTATGAACAGCCCACTGCTACTACTCAACGGGGAAAAGCTGAACGCATTTCCTCTAAGGTCGGGGAGGAGGCAAGGGTGCCCACTGTCGCCCCTTTGATTCAGCATAGTACTGGGGGTCCCAGCCAGAGCCATTAGGGATGTAAGAGAAATAAAAGGCATCCAAATTGGAAAGAAAGAAGTCATACAGCCATTCTTTGCAAATGACATGGTATTATACATAGAAAACCCTAAAGACTCCACCAAAACAAAGAAACTGTTAGAACTAATAAATGATTTCAGTAAAATCGCAAGATACAAAAATAATAATGCAGAAATCTGTTGTGTTTCTATACACTAATGATGAATTATAAGAAACAGAAACTAAGAAAACAATTCCATTTTCAGTCACATCAGAAACAAAAAACCTAGGAATAAGTGTAACCGAGGGCATGTACAAGCTCACGGGAAATATGCACTGGTCTTGCCCCACTCCTGGCACAGGGGTCCCAAGCCCTCGCGGGCTGCTGAGCGATCAGAGCACTGGGTGCTCCCTGCGTTCTCTTCAGGTGGCTCTGGGTGGGCTGCTCACCAGGAAGCACGAGCCATGATTGGAATCTTGGGATTTGCAGCGCTGGCCCTCATTCTTCAGAGAGGAGAGAAGGGCTGGAAACAGTCAGTCACTGACCATGCCCATGTGAGGGAGCCTGTACGAAACCCCAAACAGTACAGGGACCGGGGCTCCCAGGCTGGTGAGCACACACACACTGCGAGAGCAACACACCCCAACTCCTTGGAGAGAGAAGCTTCCCTGTTCAGGAAACCTTCCCCCCGCAGCCAGAGCTCACTATTTATACATATTAATCTGGCTGTTCATCTGTATTTTTTTTCTTATTATTGATTTCAGAGAGAGTGGGTCGAACAACAAACACCAATTCGTCGTTCCACTTATTTGATACATTCATTGGTTGATTCCTGTGTGTGCCCTGACTGGGAGTGGAACCTACAACCTTGGTGTATCGTATCGGGACAGTGCTCTAACCAGCTGAGCTCCCAGGACAGGGCTGTCTCCGTTCTTTATCATGCTCTTTAATACACTGGTAAACCCGTCCCCCCGAATGCCGTGCAAACTAGTCAGACCAGAAGGGCGGTGGTCACTGAAATATCTGATCTGTAGCTGGTCAGTCAGAAGCGCGGGCGAAATCAGAGCTTGTGGGTGGCATCACAGCGGGGGGCTGTCTCATGGGACTGAGCCCTCGCCCATGAGATCTGCAGCTGCCCCTGGACAGGCGGTATTAGAGGTAGAGGTTAAACTGTAGGACATCCAGCTGGGGTAGGAGAAGTGCTTGTGGTTTTTTGGGGGGAACCCACACTTTTGGTGACCAAGAGTACGCGATGTGAAATGTTCTCTACGAGTCAAGGAGACTCACAGGCGAGACACACAGCAGGGAAGAACTGTTTCTTTGGGTTGTTTTTTTTTTTTTCTATGTAGGGAGGAAAACACGGAGTTCCTCCTTCACAAGGCGAAAGACATGTACGCTAAAAACTATAAGACACAGATGAAAGAAAATGAAGAGGACCCAAATGAATGGAAAAATATTCCATGTTCATGGATTGAAATAATTATAGTCAAGTGCCTTTATTACCCCAAATGATGTACAGATTTAACACAATCATTATCAAAATTCTAATGGCATTTTCACAGAACTTTTTCAAAACCCTAAAATTTGCATTGAACCACAAAAGACCCCAAATAGAAACCTTGGGAAATAAAGGCAAACCTGAGGGCCTCGTGCTGCCTGGTGTTAAATAACACGACAAGGCCATTGTAACCTGAACAGTGTGGTACCGACATGAACACACACACATGGACTGAGGGCCAGAATCGAGAGCCCAGACACCAACTCGTACGTACATGGTCCATTAAATTACGATGGAGCCACTAATGTGCAACTGGGAAAGGACAGTCACTTCAGTCAACGGCGTTGGGAAAACTGGACAGCCACACGCAAAAGAATGAAACCGGACCCGTATCTGACACCAGAGTGAACTCACAAGGGGTCAAAGACCTGAACGTCAGGCCTGGAACATACGAGTCCTACAAGGAGACACAAGCAGTAAGTTCCCCGACGTCACTCTTGACAATGAACTTTTTTGTATTTGACATTAAACACAAAGGCAACGGAAGCAAAAATAAAGAACTGAGACGACGTCAAACTGAAGAGCTTCTGCACGGCAAAGGAAGCATCAGCAGAAGGCAAAGGCAGCCTACTGCGTGGGCGAAGACGTCTGCAAACTGTGTGTCCGGTGCGGGGTTGGTAAGTATCCAAAACACCGGGGCGGGCAGAGGTAGGTTTACAGTCGTGCGTATGGGAAAGACGTGCAGGTCGGGATGATCACAGTGGCTTTATTATTAACCTGTGTTTCGTGTACTCACGACTGCAGCCTACTTTTGTTTCACCTCTGTGTACAAAGAACTCAAACAAGTCGATAGCAAAAGAACGAACAGTCCAATTTAAAAATGGGCAGAGCATCTGAAGAGACACTTTTCCAAGAAAGACATAAAGAGGGGCCGGTAAGGATGTGGAAAGACGCACAACTTCATTCATCACCAGGGAAATAGAGATTCAAACCACCAGGAAGGATCTCTCCACGGCTGTGCCAGTGGCTACACCGAACGGACGATGAGGTGGTGGTGAGGACGTGGGGGGGGGGGGAGCCCTGGGCTCTGTCAGCAGGAACAGAAACCGGTGCAGCCGCCGTGGGGAGCAGCATGGAGTTTCTCAAAAACTCAAAAACAGCTGCCATGTGACCCAGAAACCCCACTTCTGGGCATTATTTTTCTGAATTAAACAGACACTAACTCAGAAAAACACATGCACCTTCCCATCTATTGCAGGATTATTCACAGTATCCGAGACAGGGAAGCAACCAGGGTGTCCACTGATGCATGAATGGGTAAAGAAAATGTAATGTACATAGTGGAATATTATTAAGCATTAAAAAAAAAAAAACGATATCTTGCCATTTGTAACAACAACACAGGTGGCCCCGGAGGGCATTATGCTAAGTGAAGTAAATCAGACAGAGAAAGACAAAATACCATATGACCTTACTTATTTTATGGAATCTAAAAACAAGTAAAAACCAGGTTTATACAGAACAGATTGCTAGTTGCCAGAGGTAGAGGGTGGAGGGTGGGCCGAGTGGGTGAAATGAGTGGAGAGGTGCAAACTCACCGGTTATTAACTGAGGCAGGAGGATGTACTGCAGTTACTAACACTGGTGCATAGTCTATATCAGCTAATGCAGTCGATCTGAAGAGTCCTCATCACAGGGGGAGAGTCCCTAACCACACACGGTGACAGATGCTGAGTCGACTTTGTGATGGTCGTTTTGTAATATATACAAATATGGAATTGTTATGTTGTACACCTGAAAGTCTGGTAATGTTGCACATCAGCGCTACCTCAATGGAAAATAAAGTTTCATATTTTCAGGAAAAAACAGAATTCAACATTTGATTTTGTGAGGGATAGGACTGAGCCCTTAACAGCGCATTTCTGCATCCCAAAATAGGCTTTTAATGCAAAACTAAGGGCATTCACGTGACCACATCCACCCTCTCTGTATGTAGTCCAACATTAGACGTGAAACTCTTTAGTGCAACTGTTTGTCACATCGTCCGACATCAGTGACACTTTACTCCAGGTACCCTCATGCACTACCAGCCTCCTAGACGAGACACGTCCTGAGGACCGGGGAGGAGACCCCATCTCTCACACTCACTGCGGGGCCCGGAACATTCTTCAGTCAACAGTGGCTGATCCCACCTAAGTGCAACTTGTTGCTCTTTGCAAAAAGTGATTTGATGCAGAAACCGTGACATACGTCAAAGGCATGACTAGAACGAGCTCAGGAAGGGGACCTCGCGGTGCAGCCGGCACACCAGCAGCCCTGTCTGACGCCCCGTCTATTCTCCCACAGCTCGTGTTTTGCCGGGACTGCAGGGAAGCAGCCCACGAAGGCGAATGCAGCTCGCTGGCCGCCTCAGCAGCAGTGACTCAGGTAAGGGCCCTCCCTTCCCCGAAGCTCAGGATGCGGGTGGGAGAGAAGAGCCTTCTCCTGGAGGTCGTGGGGGTTCCACTCTGCAAGAAGCAAGAACCTGCCTGGTCGCCTGCAGCCACGGGGATGGAGCTGAGTCTGGGGCTTCTCTGCGGCTTCACAGCCCTTCCAGGGCCACGCCCGCCGATCTTGGCAGAGCCACAGGCTTCCCGAGGCTGCGGCTGCTTGTAGGCCCTTCCACCACCGAGCAACAAAGCGCATCCAGAGTCTTGAAGGAGGGAGGCCTTGCAATTCAACAACCTCCAAACAGGAGAAATCGACACTCACCCCATATTTGTATTTTTCAAAAGTATCTTTGCTTAGAATCTTCAGCAAAAATTACCCACAGGCGTGAAATGACAGACGTGCCCAGTGTTGCACGGTGCGGGGACACCACTGCCCGGCAGCAGCGTCACGAACCGTCCCCGAGCGTGTCTCGGCCCGATTAGGTCGTACGGCCCGAATGTCGTACGCCAAGCCTCACCCCCCCCACGCACTGTGAGCCAGGCCCAGAGAAAGGCAGACATGTTCTCTTTTATTTATTAATTAAGATCAACCAAACCTTAGGGGAAAGGAGCGGAACCTTCAGCGCCCTTGATGAATCTGCTGTTATTTCCCTCCTGATACAGATGCTAACGAGGGTGTAAGCACCAGATCTAGCCCGATAAACCCTTCGCCATTGGATTGACAGGGACCTCACACAGCAACACAGAAATTCCAGACATTGCAATTTTACAGTGCAGAATTCTAAACATCCGATGCTGTAAAGTCAGGGTATAAAAAAGTGTATCCCCATTAGGTACACTGCGGATGTATTTACTCAGTATTAGCATCATTAGTAAACACAATTAGCTCCTAAAATGTTGGCTGTGACCATGTGGGAACCGGTAGGACTGAGTTGCAGTCGTTTCTACGGCAGAGGCAGCCGAAGCTCCTTCTGCTGGTTTTAGCTGAGCCCAGAAGCATTCAAATGGGAGCGTACTGGGTTCCAACATCGGGAGTAATAATGACCTTGACCCACACCCCATCCTTGCCTCAGGGTCACTGCAGCCCAGAGGGTAAAGCCTGAGGCTCCGTGAAATCAAGCTGGCCTTGCAACTTATATCTGTACCCTTTTATGACCTCAGGCACAGACACAGATTTCCGAGAAGTGATACACCCACATCTACTCATTTTAAACAGCAGCTCTAAGGCCAAGACCAGCATTACTTAACAGTCAGCTGTTGCGGTGCCCTACCCACCCAATAGTCTCTTTTCTCCTCCATTCAGGAGCGACCAGCCAACCATGCTATTAAAGATTGAGGTAGCCCCCAGTTTGGGGGGACGTCACTAGAGCCTTAATGTTCAGCTCTGGAGAATGGGAGAAAGAGCTTCCCGTAAGCATAGCTGACTAGTGCCAAGGGCCAGGGTCTGCCGACCCCATCAGCCAGCAGACACTGAACCGAGTGTTTGTACAGGCCACCCCTGCCGGGGAAAGTGCAGATAAGTCCATTTCTCTTTGGAGGCTCAGAGGAGCGCTAGAGGGAGACTTACAGGAAGTGAACAATGGTCGTGATACGCTAACCAAATGTAGAAGAAGTGTAGCTTTGTGTAATGCTTCCCCGAGAAGTCTGCGGACAGCACCGAGAGCTACAGGTGATGAAGACCCCTCCAGCAGAGGGTGCTGCATGGACAGCGGTGCAGAGGCGAGAGTCTCTTCAGCCCAACTGCTCCGTCCACCCCTGCGTCCCCCAGGCCCCAGGCGGTGTCTGGCACACAGGCGTGTGGCAGATGCACATTGAGTGATGGCAGCATCTGAAAAGAAAGAGACGTGCTTTCATTCATTCAAGAAATATGCTCTGAACTTCTCTAAGGGGTTTGGCTTGTTGGAGGCTCTGTCAGCAGGGATCCATCCGCAGCCCGAGCTCCCAGCAGCTGGGGACACCCACACTTCTGTGCCAAGGTGGGGGCGAGGGGGGGGATGACGCCTGGAGGGTCCAGTACCAGCAAGTGTGGGGCAGGTGGATGGGGGGGTTGGATGGGAGCCGGGGCCTCAGCAATGATCGGAAGGCAGCATGAGGGACATGGCATGGTCAGGTCCACCCCTGAGTCTGACTGGGGTGGATGGGGTGCGGTGCCCTGGAGGAGGAAACACAGGAACTGACAAGGTGTGTTCAGGGACAGATGTCACGTTCACTGTGGACGTCTCTGCAGCCGTGCTCAGGGGGTCCAGGAATGGAGGCCACCTGTGGAGGGCAGCCGAGGTGGAGCCGGTGCCAGACAAGATGATGAATCTCGCCCATGGTCCCCACCCCCACCCCACCACTGCCATCTGTAAGGAGAGGCACATGTGTGTCCTCGTGGCCGCGCTGGGCCAGGTCCTGCTGTGTCACCCCTAAATGGAAGACCCGGAACTGGGAGACGGGGAAATGCATTTTTCCCCAGACTGGGGACCTGCTCATTTGGGGGTGGAGTTGAACCACTGGTTATTTCAGTGACACAGCTTCACTTGACACCCCTTTGCTTCTGCCCTTGACTCTGCGCGTGGCCACAATTTGGACATGCAGACCGACTGAGGACTGGCGGAGCCCATCAACGCAGGTGTGTCTCCACTTGTCCTTCAACGGAGAGGGGCTGAGTGAGTGGCAAAGCCAAGGCCAGGCCCCTGTGGGGCCCCTCCAAAGCCCTGAGCCACAGAAGCTGGCTCCGGGGGAGCAGAAGGGCCAGGCTGGTGCCCCAAAGCCCTGCTGGGTCTGGCTTTCCCCGTCCTCTTCACCCAGTGACCCAGATCCTGACAGCGTTTTCCTCGCCGGCCACCAGGGGGCAGTGCGATCTACTGCTATGAGTTTGGAGGGTATGTGAAGCCCTGCTTAAGTTGTGAGTTCTGCAAAATGGTGGAACATTGGGGTTTGGCTATTTTTAAGCCTGAATGCTAAGACTGTCAGGCATTGTAGGCAGAGAAAATGAAGGACAACGTTGAAAGGTAAGCGAAGGCGCATGTGCGCACACATTCACGCACACACACCCACCGTACCCGCAGGCCCGGCCTCTGGCTCTCCCAGGACCCTTCCCTCCCTTCAGGGCTGCGCCTGTCTTACGGGACTGTCATTCCCGAAAGAGCCAGCGCTGAGCCCTCACAGCACCTCCTCAGGGCTTGGCCTCCCTCCCTGGGCGTCTCCCCAGCCCCGGAGCGCACCTCAGCCTGGTGGCCTCACTAAGACGCGGTCAGCCAGGTCCCCTGGGCTCTCCTGCCTCTGCCCCGCTCCCAGCACCCCGCAGAGTCAGACAGCGGCTCTCCCCACCAAGGACAGCCCCCCACCCTTCCGCCCCGAGGCTCCTGGGTCAGAGGGGTGGGAGGGGTCCTGGCCAGCGAGCTTGAAAAGGGTGAACTGGCAATACTTCACCTGGACACGCATGTCCGTGATCCATGTGCACGGGACAGGAACAAGCCACTGGACGGCACGGTGCTGTGGGGGGTGTTTTACTGGAGACCCGTTGTCACACCCCCACACACGCATCGCACACATCACACACACTACCCACATACATCACACACTGTGTACACACTGCATACACTGCACACACACACACACACACACACACACACCCCACCCCACCCCCCCATCTCCACCTGCCAGGGCTCTGCCTTTCCTCTCCAGCAGCCCAAGGGGAAACAGCTGCCGAGCGCCTCTGTCCCACCAGATGGCGCTCCATCCTCAGGAGAAATCCTACGTTTCTCTAGAAGTGGTGGCCAAAAGTGAAATGGCCTGGGGCAGAAAGGAGTGCTCGTCACCTCTGGAGGACAGCACCACAGCCCCAGGGCTGTGTCACAGGGAGCAGCCTGTCTGGGCCACGCAGAACCGGGACTCCTTCGTGAGTCACTGACTGAAACTGGGGCAGGAGGAGGGACACACGCAGTCCTCTACCCAGGGCTGTGGGCTGTCTGTGGGGACGGCTGGCCTGCTCCACCGGGTGGAGCAGCAGCTCAGCACCAGCTGCCGGGTGAGCAGCGCCCTGGCCCCTGTCCTTCTCCAGGTTACATTTCATTCCTCTGGCGGGAAATCACAGCGCTGTCTCCAAGCTACCTCATCCGGGAGGGACCCAGGGCAAGGCGGCATGGTTCGAAAGTCAGCCTGGAAAATGAGTGTGGCCATGACTAGCTGTGATGGTTACATTTTGGTGACAACGTGGCTAGGCCGTGTTGCTCAGTTGTTCTGGAAAACAGCAGTGCAGGAGTTGCTGTCAGGGGATTGTGAAGAGGTGATCAACACCTCCAATCAGCCAGCGCTGAGTAAAGGAGTTACTGCTAATGTGGGTGGGCCTCGTCCAATCAGGTGAAGGTCTGAAGAGCAAAGACACAGGTTTCCCAGATAAGAAGCAATTCTGCCTGGAGACCATCACTTAGAAACTCGGCCTGAGCTCCCAGCCTGCTGCCCCACCTCACAGGTTCTGAACCTGCCAGCTCCCCCAGTCCCAGGAGCCGACTTCTTGTATAAATCCATACACTGTATATACGCATGCGTATACCCTTCTAGTTCCCTCTCTGGAGAAACCCAGACAGACCCACTGGCTGTAATAATCATGGGGGGAGTTACGTAGCCCCTCAACGCCATGCTCTCCTGGTCTGTAATATGAGATGTGAAATGACAGAGATGAAATGCAGTAGCCCACGCGTCCTGCCTCCCTCGAGGCCTGGTCCTCATGGCACCAGCAGGACAAGGCGGCGGGTTCCTCCTTCGTCCTCACTGTGACTGCACACTCCCACGGGCTGGCTGACGTCAGGCTGCCGGCCAGACAGCCTGTGCTAGAACACGCGCACACAGTTCGTTCCACCTGTGCTGACAGGTGTGCTGTGTCCACAGGTGCTCGCAGGCAGGGCTTCTCCAAGGGCCACCCACGGACTAGCTGCGTGAGTATCACCTAGAAACATGACAACTCCCAAATTCCTGGGCCCCACCACAGACCTGCGGGTTCTGGGACTGGGC